TGTCCCACATGAAAGTAAACAGCACCTCCCAATGCTCCCAGTTTGATAGCATCAGCAGACTTGCTAACAGTGCATTCAACTCCTGCATCCAGATCATGATCAAAATATTGGAGAGCACTGGCCCTAGGACTGAGCTCTAAAGAACACTGCTGGTGACCGGTTGCCAGCCAGATGTAGCCCCATTCACTACAATCCTTTGAACTCTGCCATCTAGCCAGTTCTTCACCGAGTGCACCATGAACCTGCTCACCCCACAGTTGGACAACTTGTCCAGAAGGATGCTGTGAGGGAAAGCATCAAAAGCCTTACTAAAATCCAGAAAAACTACATCTACAACCTCCCCTCACCCACTAGGCAGGTGACCTTATAGTAGAAGGATATCAAATCAGTTACAGGATTTGCCCTTTGTGAACACATTGGCTGTGCCTGATGATTGCATTATTCTTTAAATGCCTTTCAGTAGCACCCAGTATGATCTTCTCCATCATTTTTCCAGGTACTGAGGTTAGACTAACAGGTCTGTTGTTTCTTGGGTATTCCCTCACACCTGTCTTGTAAACTGGAATAACATTGTCTAGCTTGCGGTCAGCAGGGACCTCCCCAGACTCCCAAGACCTTTGGTAGATGATCGAGAGCTGTCTTGGCATAACATCCGCTAGCTCCTTCAGTAATCTGGGATGAATGCTATCAGGCCCCATGGACTTGTGAACATTCAGCTGATACAGCTGGTTCCTGACAATTTCAGTGTCCACAAAGTCACTGTTCCCACAGTCAGGGTCCTCTGACTCAAGAGGACTGGGTAGCCCAAGGTCTACGAGTATTATTAAAGGCTGAGGCAAAAAAAGCATGGAATGCCTCTGCTTTTTCTTCATCCCTATTAGTCAGGTGACCATCTTCAACAACTATCGGTCCCATGTTTTCTTTAGACCTCCTCTTGCTATTAACATACTTTTAAAAGCCTTTCTTGTTGTCTGACACAACACTGGCCAGTTTCAACTCTAATTGAGTTTTGTCCTTTCGTGTCTTCTCCCTGTGGAGAATGACTTGGGGTATAGATGAAGGGGAAAAGGACTGTGTCCAAAGGAGTGGGTGCCAGGCTGCAATTTCAGGTTCCAGTTCCAGCTCGAGCTGCACTTGTGATGCCCATCATGCCCCCCAGACCCCTTTGTGTTGCAGTGTGCGACTGGCTGCGACTTGTATCCCAGTGGCTCTTACACCAAATTCTACCATCTCGCCTACAATGCCCACAACTTCGTCAGCTTCAATGTGGACAACAGCCACTGGGAGAGGCAGCAGGAGAGTGAGCTGGCGGCACAAGTTCAGAGGCAGTTCAATACCTTCACCGACTTCTCTGCAATCCTGCAGTACTTTCTCAATATCACATGTGTTGACCACATGAAGAAATTCATCGAGTACGGGAAGGCAGCTCTGGAGAGACAAGGTGAGACCACCCTCACCCTGGCACGGCCACTCCAAAGCCCCACAAACATTGGGGCCAACCAGTGCCTCACCAGGGCTTCCCACACCCCTTTGCTTTCGCACCCCAGAGCCGCCTGTGGCCACAGTCTTTGCCCGCACACCCAGCCCAGCCCAGATCCTGCTGGTTTGCCATGTCACTGGCTTCTACCCACGGCCCATCAGCGTGGCCTGGCTGCGGGATGGCCAGGAGGTGCCACCAGGCCCGGCGCTCAACACCAGCACCATCCTGCCCAACGCCGACCTCACCTACCAGCTCCGCAGCGTGCTGGCCGTGGCCCCCGGTGATGGGCACAGCTATGCCTGCCGCGTGCACCACCGCAGCCTGGGCACCCGCAGCCTCCTCACCCAGGCCTGGGCCCCGCCAGCGTCATCATCCCATGGGGTAGGTGCCACCCATGGGGATGGGGCACAGGGTGCGGGCAGAGGCCCTGGCCCCATGCAGGTGCCTGGGGGATGGTGGGTCAAGCTCCGATGGGAGCTCTGGCCATGGCCTCCCACATGCCCGCAACCCCTCTCTCTCCTCCAGGCAGCTCCAAGGTAGCTCTTAGTGTCGGCATCACCATTGCAGTGTTCCTGACCATGGCTGCAGCCCTTGCTGGGGCCATCTGGCGCTATAGGCGCAGGTGAGGTCTCCTCCTCACCCATCCACCAGCCCCATCGGCACCAGGTCATAGCAAGTGGGAGCTGCCTGGCCAGGGCTCCCATCGGAGCTTGACCCACCATCCCCTCCTGCAGGAGCTGAGAGCCCAGGACACACCACTCCAGGTATGCAACAGGGCCACACTGGCACCCCCCATCTCCCTGATAATAAAACTGCTAATTAACACGCCCACGCGTGTAGCAATTCCTGGTGTGCCATGTCTAGTGCTCACAAGCCCATGGCATCATGCAGCTCCTGCCCACCTGAGAACAGACGGGAAGAGCCCCGTGCAGCACAGGGGCATGCCTACACTCCTCATCTCAGGGCGAAACACTGGGACAGCCCCCCAACACCAACAGGGTGTCCCTG